ATTTAAGAAGCTGCACCAACTAATGAAATATATATGAAAATGTTTGTAAGTTTTGGACTCCGGTCAAATTGTAGGTCCACTTTTGTTCTTGACAAAATGGTTTTTTTCCAAACTAGTCTCAAATCTTATGAGTCTTTAAACTTGATTTGATTAATGTTGGACAGTTGCAGATACATTCAACCGGTTGTCATCATCGACGTGTCTAGTTGGGGTAGTCTACTTATAATTTTTAGATCAAGTGTTTATGGTATTCAATACTTTTCACCAAATTACCTATTTGAATACAGTGCAAGGTTGTACATAACAAAAATCAGTTCTGAATGAGCCATATATCAGTTCCTCTATAACATGAAGGAAGAAACAAAGATGCAATAATCCCATTGTTATGACATTATATACACTAAAAAGTACGAACGAAATCCTCTCAAAATAAGTTTCTAACAGATAAATATAATCTGGACAGACGTGTGATAATATAAGTTAGCCTAAGAAATACAAATCCATAGAGCAGAGCAACAAAACTTGCTCTTTTCTAAGAAAGAATCCAGTACTTTTAAATTAAACAAATCCAAATTGCTACTAACTTGTATGATAATTAGTTAATTAAATAATTAATTAACAACAAATGGGACATTGAATCAAACCATTCTCATTACACTCCCCACACTTGACACTGCTTTTCCCATCATCTCCCAACACCTTACAGCTGCCACTGCATTCCCAGCAGCACAAGAACCTCACACCTCCGCAACCGCCACAACCGCCTGTGGCGGCCCTCGGGATCCCGGCGAGTAAAGTTCCCAATGTGCCCTCCTCCTCCAGCCTGGAAATCTCGTCCGCCCCACCAATCAACCTCCCCTTCACAAAAACTAAGGGCACCTTCACCTCAGTTGTCCCCATCAGTGATCTCAGCTCCTCCTTGAACCCGGAATGCATCGACACGTCCCGTTCTAATGTCCGAACCTGATGGGACTGGAGGATGGATCTGGCCGTGTTGCAATCCTCAAATGTCTTTCTGATGCCTCTTAGTGTGGTGGTGTAAACAACCACAGCATCTCCCCCACCCGGCGGGCAAATCTTCGGGAACTTTTGGATGACTTTGTCTACTTCAATGGAAGCTTTTGTTGAAACAGAGGATTTCTGTTTCCACTGTTCTGCCTCTTCTGTTGATAATCCCGCAGCTGCAAACAAGCTCCTCACTGCTGGTGGTGTTGGGGTTAGTGCTGCCCGCGGTGGGATTCGGGCAGAATCTGGACTATTTTCCTTGTGGGAAATTCTCTCATTATCATACAATTTGTGGTACATTTTCTGAGGCATTGTCGTTTTCGGGCTGGGCACTGTTATTTTCCCGCTGAGTTTTCCGGGAGAAGCGGCAGGAACGCCATTGTTCTCCTTTCCGGCTCCTCCAAATATTCTGAACCTCCTTGGAGATAAAACGCTCTTTTGATTGAAGAGTTTCAAAGGGCTTCTTCTGTAATCGAGAAAAACTCGGGATTTGGGGCTTTTCCTGGATTTAATAGAACAGGGGGCCTCTGTTTCATCAAGATCCTCCATGAGCTCCCAAGCATTGATCACCTCCGCTTGATCCCCCTTCTGCGGCGGAGAAGGGGATTTCTTCATCTCGACCGAAACGCATTTCTTGATGCACTGCGGCGGCTCCGGCGGCGGCTGATCAGCAGCTCCGTCGTCGAGCTGGAGGAGACCATAGGTGCTTGAAGTGAGGGAGACGACATGGGTGGAACTGATTTCGAACTGGCGTTCTCGTTTGAGTTCCTTTCTGGCGATCTTGGAGGATACGCAGCCCATCTGGGTTTAAGTTGACTTGTCTGTACAGAGTGGAAACTATGTAAGGAAGGAGAGAAAGAAGGGTAACGGAATGCCAACGGTTACCCTCCAACGGTAACATTATTTGAAAAGTTGGGGTGAAGCATTTTCTTCCAACTCCATATGATTTTACACTTGGTAAATTGGATGATAATTTTTTTTTTTCTAATTCAACCATTCCAAAAAGTCATGGCATTCACTAATGCTGTCTGTATACATGTTATAGTGCCACTTATAAGGAATTAAGGAGAGTAACGTACTTATCATGTCATTATTTAATCGTTTGTTTATACTTTATATACAAAAAATACTCCGTATAAATTACGTAGTAATAAGGAAAAATTGACAAGAATAATCCCACCTTTCACTGGTCTTCTCATAATAATCCCACATTTAAATAATCCCAAAATAATCCCACATTTGCACCTCATCTTCTTTCATTAGACCCTGACCAAGTTTTTTACCTTTTTTAAAAATCTTATATAAATAATCTCACATTTATAAGGATATAATTAAAAAATGAAAGGTGAGATTATTTATATAAGATTGTTAAAAAAGGTAAAAAACTTGGTCAGGGTCCAATGAAAGAAGATGAGGTGCAAAAGTGAGATTATTTTGGAATTATTTAAAGGTGGGATTATTATGAGAAGACCAGTGAAAGGTTGGATTATTCTTGTCAATTTTTCCTAGTAATAAATAATAAGTGTCCACTTATTTACGGTCACGTATTTATCATGTCATTATTTTCAATCGTTTATTTAGAAAACTACAAAAGTTTTCTAAAGAAATGGTTCGTTAATGTCTATGTTGAATGGTATAGTGTCTACTAATAAGTGAGGGGAATATTTTCGATGATAGACATTACTTTTTTTTTTTTGAAAAAAAAAATTAATTACTACCTCCGTCCCAAATTGAGTTCCAAATTTGACTTTTTTTAGTCAAACAGTTTCATTTTGTTCACTTAATTATGATGTCAATTTTTAATTATATTCTAATTTGCAATTTGCAATTTTGAAGAGATTTTAATGTAGTTTATGAATATGTAAATCTTAATTATTAAAAATTGAATTAATTATTCATAAAGAGGATTGACTTTTATTATTGGTTGACCAAAATGTTGACTTTTCAAAACAAATTGGGACGGAGGGAGTATTATTTTTAAGAGTAACCAATGACATAATCATAAAAAGCCGAAACACTACAATCATAACATTTAATACTACACTTGGGTGAGACAAAGAACAAAAAACTCCATGCAGGCGCTCTTGTTCGCGAACTCTGCAACCATGTGATTGCTCATGCGACTTGAAAAGATCTGGTTTGACCAGCCATCGAAAAAGAATTATGTAGTATTCAATATTTCAGTTTTGTCAGCTACCGATAAGTAGCCAAGTGCACAAATTGTTTTGATTTCACTAGGCATCGGAAAGAAAACAGTCCATCCAATTTCATCTTCTTGAATCGGCGATGGTTCAGGAGGGGGGTGATCGGCGTTTATGATGCAAAAAAAATAAAAAAAGATTCATGATTGAAAATACCGATTAAATGAATCTTTTTTCATGATTAAAGCCCAAAGAAATGACATTACTTTTTTTTATTTCTTCATTTTATATATTGAAAAGTATACACAGTATTTGGAAGAGGTGAATTTCTTAAGAATACAAATAATGTGAAATTAAAAATATGGGAACTATATTTTCCTCAGGAGTTGGTTACTTTCATTCTGAAAACGTAATACCATATTTATGATATTTTTGTTTTACATGAGTACATGGCCATATTAATGTTATAATTGGTGAGTTTTTCAAGCATGATTATTTCTATTTATAAAAGAAATGCTAGTACACTAGTACTAAATGTGCAATTTCATGCTGTTTTTACTCTTATTTAAAATAATTTCTCATTGTTTCATGTGCACACCAACATAGAATTAGCTTTAGTTTTCATTTAATTGATTTGACTTCATTTTGGTTTTTAATTTTGTCAACGCGCTAAACTGTTTCCATTGATTCTTTCAGATTTTTCCGCATTTTCTTTTGGTGGTTAATTACTGGATTGATATTTATAGAATTATAACATCCGTACTTCGTGAGTTGTGTACACTTTTAATGTGTCCACAATTTGGAGTGCAGAAGTAAAGTCATGCTAGTTCAAAATAGGATAATAAACCTCCTGATATACGAAAATTTTAAAATGCACGTTACATGCTCCTTATGGATAGAGCTGTCAAACGGGCCAACCCGCCCCGCCCCGCCCCGACCCGCGGCGGGTTATGAGTTTCACGGGTCGGGGCGGGCCAACCCGCTTACTATCGGGCCAGAATTGTTATGACCCTAACCCGACCCACCTAACCCACGGGTTATGCGGGCCAGCCCACGGGTCATAAATGTCAAAACAAAAAAACAATTAAATATCTAAATTAAAATCCAAACACAATTGTAATAGCAATTAAATATCTAAATTAAAATCCAAACACAATTAAAAAGGAAAAAATTAGTGCTTGAAAATCCTTTGGTTGTATGTTTGAATGTATCATCGTGGGTAAGTGGTATACTTAAAAAGTTAAAAGATGAAATACTTAAAAGCTTTAATGTATTATGTGGGTATACTTAAGCTGAAATATCGCAAATACCTAATTTCTCATTTATTTAGCCTGATTTGAATATCATGAATAAAACAGCATAGAAGTCCTTATGTTATAAAACAATATAGCAACGAATACATTAAAAATACATTTATTTAGTCTAATTTGGATATCATGAACAAAATACATTAGTATTAGAAGTGAGGAAAGAACTAGAAGTAAAGAGAGAGTATAATAGAAGATATAATTGTCTTATATAGAAATAATATAATTAAAAATACATAGAATAAATTATATTTGTCCTCAGCCCGCGGGTTGGCCCGCAACCCGTACGGGTTGGCCCGCTAAACCCGCAACCCGTTAGGGTTGACCCACTGAGCCCGCAAAACAATCGGGCCTGAAAATGATGGCCCTAACCCACTTATAAGTGGGTTGAAACGGGCCAACCCGCGGGTTTCGGCCCGTTTTGACGGCTCTACTTATGGAGCACGTAGTCCGTACAATTGACACTGGCTCCCACCTAAAAGACTTAAAATGATTAATGACATCATTAAATTAAGTTTTATTATTAAATGAAAACAGAGTTACCCTAATAAAAATAGGATCTTTCATTCGTATGCATCGGAAAACATATTTGCAGGCTATTCGGTAGAGAAGCTTTCATTCTTCTTCTTAGAAACAAATAACATGGATAAAGTAGGTATGAATCCAATCACGACTAACATGATTAATCCCAATCTTATACATATTTCTTATGACAATTTTGATATGCTTGCAGTAGAATTTACATATATTATTTATCCAACCTTCTTCTACAGAGACGTAGGAGCACATCGAAGGTAATCCATGGACAACGACAACGTAATACCTGCAGATGTAGGTAATATCAGTATTTCATCACCGCATATACAACATAATGAAGGTTCTTCATCTTGAGTACACTTCAATTAATGCGTTAATCTACTATATTTTTTGTTTATATTTGTTGTTGCGTATACCAGACCAAAAATCCTCTTTCTAATCTTTTACGTAAGTTGTAACACTAAAATTATTTGTTCATGTAATTCTTTAACTTCAATTAACATCTACACAGTTGTTAAAAAAACTACACCTTAGTGCAGGTGTAAAAAAACTACACCTTAGTGTAGTAATCGCTTTTAGAACATATTGTATGCCTAATAATGGTAGGTGTTGGTGATAAAATTTAATGAAAAAAATATGGAAGTCTGTTTCGATGTTTTTATTGGACTAATATTTTCAAAAAAACATCTACTCTGGTATTATATTTTTTGCTAATTAAGTCTGATATGATTTTGTAAACGTATTGTGTTTATGTATTTTACTATTATCAATGTCCAGTGTGATTTGATCCGTTTACATTTTGTCTAATTTGATATGATTAGTCTGCAATTGAAACTAATCCAATTAAAAACATCCCTACTTTCACTTATAATTCAAGATTCTCTGTAATTTAATTTTTTTCGCAGATCTTTTCTTTGAGGAGACGCCTAAATTAGGCCAAGAGTTTCATTCGCTAGATGATGCTCAGGTTTTTTATAATGCATATGCAAAGTTGCTTGGGTTTGGTACTAAAATAAAAAACTCAACTGTTAACAAAGCTGGAGTCATAACATGGAGAGCCTTTACATGCTCTAAAGAAGGCCGGACAAATGTGTCTTTGCGGAAGACTAATAAAATTGTCTTTGAAAGAAATAGGGGCCACTCAAGGTGTGGGTGTCCTGCTAAGATGCATGTTTCGAGGAATCGACAAAGCAATTTATGGACCGTGACAGGATTTGAGAAGATCCATAATCATGACCTTGTTAGTCCGAGTAAGATACATTTGATTCGTTCTCACCGAGAAGTGTCATCTTCGAAGAGAATATTGATGAATGAGTGGGGAGATGCAAATATTGAGACACATACTCAAATTCGATTGTTGGAGAACGAAGCTGGAGGTCTATCTACGATGGGTTGCACAGAGACTGATATATATAATTACAGTGCATCATTGAAATCCAAATTTAATGGGATTGATGTGAAAACAATGATTCATGGATTTCAGACTGAAAAGCAAAGGAATTGTGACTTTGTTTACAATTATGAAATTGATAGTCAAAAGGTTCTTACTAGATGCTTTTGGGCCGATAGTGATAGTAGGAATGCATACTTATTTTTCGGTGAAGTGGTTGTATTTGATACAACATTCAATACAAACAAGTATGGCTTCTATCTTGCTCCCATCGTTGGTGTTAATCATCATCGTCAAACTACTGTTTTCGGTTGTGGTCTGCTAAGTGATCAGTCGACAGAGTCATTTTCTTGGCTACTATCAAAATTCTTGGAAGCTATGGGTCCTAGACCCCATCCAAAAGTAATAATAACTGATCAAGATGCCGCTATAGCTCGAGCAGTGGGTAATATATTTCCAAATGTATCGCATCATCATTGTTTGTGGCACATACTTAAAAAATTCCCAGAAAAGATGAATGTCTCTAGCTCATCTTATACTGAACTCCATAAAGATTTAGTGGATATTATAATGAGTTCAGAGAGCACAAGTGATTTTGAGCAACGGTGGACTGCCAAACTCTTGTTGCCAGAGTTGCATGATAATAATTGGCTTGCTGATATATATGAAATTCGAGCAAAATGGGTCCCTTGTTTTGTGAAACATATTTTTTGTGCGGGCATGCTAAGTAGTCAGCGTGTCGAAAGCACACATGCTTTTTTTAAAAAGTATGTTAACAAGAAGTGCACCTTGAGCCAGTGTGTGACACGTATTACTCGGGCTATTGTGAGACAGAGGCATAGAGAGCTTATTGCTGATCACCGCGACCGTAATGAAGTTCCTCAGATAAATTCAAGCTATTTAATGGAACGACAAATGGCGAAAATATACACAAAGGCAATATTTTGTAAGTTCCAGAAAGAATTCGACAAGTGTGCTCTTTACACTTGTCACATGATTTCTAGCTCTGCTGAAACTAAGATCTATGATGTCAAAAGATTTGATCTAAGTTCGACTTCTAGCTCTGCGACACATAGACTTACATATAATAGATCCTTGGATTTTGTTTGTTGTAGCTGCCAAAAATTTGAATTTATGGGGATTATTTGCCGACATATTCTCATATGGATGAGAGTTGAGCAGGTGTTGATATTACCAGAGCAATATATTCTTCATCGATGGACAAAAAAAGCAAAGATAAACCCTGTTTATCAGCTTGCAAGTAGTTCATTTGTTGGTTCCAAATTGTGGGCAAGGCGGGTGAAGCTAAGGCTATCTGCTTTTCAGGTTGTTGACGTAGCATCCTTAACTGAAGAACGAAGCAATTATTTTGCAGAAGTCTTAAAGGGTGCTATGGATCACCTAGCACATATGGATGATGGGGGAGGGAATACAAACCAACCATCAATACTGTCCTGTCAATTACAAGAAGTTCCTGTGAATGATCCAAAAATTACAAAAATTAGAGGTTCAGGTTCACGGCTTAAGCATCCATCTGAAAGGGCTAGACGTTGTGGAAAATGCAAGAAGGTTGGACATAATGCTAGATCATGTCAAGTTTCCCAGCTAGAGAGGTGAAAATTCGACTTCATATTTGATATTTTACATTTAATTAAGCAGTTGATTAATTGCTTTAAATTCCACCTAATAGTTTAAAATATGTAATGGATATCTGTAATACATGTGATTAATGTGGCAGGTCTCAAAACTGTAATAAGCAGTTTGATCTCAATCTCCCGGATTTAGAATGTTGAAGGATACTGAAGAAACAAGTCTGCTACAAGATTCTGATGCTTGACATGTATTCAGATGTTACATTATTATTTTATTTATTGTTTCGTAATGATATACTAGTAATATTTTAGTATTTCTGGATAATATGGTATTATCCATATGGTATTCATTCGTATTTCTGGATTATCTATGAGAATATGATTTCTCTATCTATAAGATTGATTGTTTCAGAAGAATGATCCATGTTTTCCCCTTAAGTGACAGAAGGATTCCAACCCTGAGTTTTATTCTACTTACTAAGATTTTGATCAGCTCATTCCCAAAGAGTAGAATGAAAACAGAAATGGGAAACCTATATAAAATTGAATTATGATTAATGCATGTTTCACGTTTCCATAAGTTAAACATATTCCTTGCTTTCTTTTATGTGTTTCAATTCCTAATTTATTGTCTATTTTATAATTTTATTAACTACTTTCATTCCCCTCACTTATGCATGTTTCAAACATAGCAAAAGATCTGCAGAGAACATTTTTTCATATTCCTTGCTTTCTTATAGGGAGTAATACCATCTAAAGCTAACCAAACGGATGATTTTGGAGGAGAAAGGGGATATAATTCAGGGATCATAAGAAAGATGACAGTTTTGCATCATTTTACCAAAACTGTAAAAAAAAAGATGACAGTTTTGCATCACTTTACCAAAACTGTGTCATTTTTAGAATTAAGTGTAGTAAAGTTAGTGAATGCATCATTTTTAGAAAGTAAATCCCAAACTTTGTCATTCAGCATTTATGGGTTGGAGTTTGACATGGGGACAAAGCTGGTCTAGATCCCCTTTCGTCCATAAGTCCCCTTCATCCATAAATGCTTGAGATCACCTCTTTTCTTTCCTAATGTAAAAAACATTCCTAAAGTGAAAGGAACTATGTAAAGCAATGCAGGTTGCCTGTGTCCATTCATCAATTTGAGAGCCAAATAACCAAATCAGTTTCAATTCCTTGACAGATCATCTTGAAGACCTCTGTTTGGTTGTTTATATTGAGGACAGCTGAAGCATTAACGTCATCTGCAACATTAGCTTTCAAAAAAATTAATAAAGTAGATTGAAGGCTCAGGAATCTCAAGTTCATGCTTGTGAGAAGTCTTTTTTCTCCTAGCAGGATACCAAAAGGCAGACACAAATAAAATCAAACACAATAAGCTTTATTTATTGAAGAAAAAAGACATGATTTGTTTTTAAAATTTAAGAAATACAATCAAACACTCGTTGGATCTTAGAAATGAGCTTCTCTCTGGAGCTAAGAAATACAATGGGTCTTGCAAAGTACAATCCAACACTCGTTAGTTTAAAAAATAAAATCAACTAACCTTACGAGCAAGCTGGGTCTTGCGAGCAGGTCCAACCATATAGCTTCCTCTCTGCAATCTTAGAAACTTGTATATGAGACTTTAAAGTAGCCGACCTGGGGATGTCAACGAGGGGAGAGGAATTGGATCTTAGAATTCAGCTTTGCCTTCACCATAATAGACTATTTTGCGATGAGAAGGGCCCGTCGGAGACCAAGCTCGGTGGCGGCGGGTAAAAGCTTGGTGGCTAGCGTTTTTCTTGGTTAGCACTACTGATGTACATCGGAAAATAGATTCTGGGATAAGTATGGGTTCTGAAATTTTTAGAATGTTTTTTTCCAGCCAAAGAGATTCCCGCACCCGACCTATTTTCTTTTAAAAATCAATTAAATGAATCGACTGCCACGTGGACCTACGTGCTTGTTAACGAGCACGTCACGGGTACATTAAAATTCCTGAACCTATATAGGTCTCATCACTTTGTTGATATATATGATGTTGTGGAGAAATTCAGGAGACATTGATTCAATGAACTATTGCTTATTTGAGAGTCTCGTTCTTCTGCGGGAGATTATTTAATATTTAGAGTTTTTTTTTAATATTTAGAGTTAATTCATGTTTGTAAGATTTGCTTTATATGAAGAAATTGTTCAAAATAGGAATATAATAGAATATGGAAAATGTTTTAAAATAGGGCTAAATGTAGGGAATTTCCACTTCTTTTTTGGAAGTTGTCAAGAGGCATCTCACACCTTCTTGGAAGGAGATCTCCAACATATGAACATAGGGAAGATATGGAGATAACTAAGGAAGCTTGGATGCAACTTTCTCTTGTCTCCAAACTAGCCTATAACTAGAGTGTTCTATTGTTGTTCATATCATCAGTTTATAAAGTGAGAAAAGTGTGTGAAGAGTGAAATACACTTAAAGTAGAAGTGTATTTTCAGCTTTTGGCAACTGCTTTTAAAAAAGCACTTCTCAGCTTTTGGCTGTAAAAAGCACTTATTTTCCCAAACACTACAACTTTTATTTTTCTCGGCTTCCGCGTCAAAAGTGCTTTTACTTTTTCTATTACACAAAAAGACTTATTTTACCAAACACTACCCACTTTTACTTTTCAAAATCTTTTTGTTCTCAAACACTATCAACTTTTATTTAATCACTTCTCCCCATTTCATTAAAAAAACACTTTTTTAAAAGCAGAAGTTGTTGCAAACAGACTATAAGTATTTGTAAGTAGGCCTAAATGGGGAATTTTATGACGTGCTATTTTTGTTGTTGCTTTAAAATTGTTGTGACGTGCTCATTTTCAAAGCAGCCAGTTAGATTTGCATGCGACATTGAAACATGAAAAGTTGTTGTCGTGGTATTCATAACATTCCTCCTATTAATAACGTGATTATGGAAAATGTTATGCATAAAATTTATGTGTAATTTCAAATTGTCAATTGGGCATTTTACCCTCGCGCGTCGCGCGTCGGAAAACTAGTAATATTTATAGAGTTAATTCATGTTTGTAAGATTTGCTTTATATGAAGAAATTGTTCAAAATAGGAATATAATAGAATATGGAAAATGTTTTAAAATAGGGCTAAATGTAGGGAATTTCCACTTCTTTCTTGGAAGCTGCCAAAGAGGCATCTCACACCTTCTTGAAAGGGGATCTTCAACATATGAACATGGGGAAGATATGGAGATAACTAAGGAAGCTTGGATGCAACTTTCTCTTGTCTCCAAACTAGCCTATAAATAGAGTGTTCTATTGTTGTTCATATCATCAGTTTAGAAAGTGAGAAAACTGTATGAAGAGTGAAATACACTTAAAGTAGAAGTGTATTGGTAAGGATTGATTTTTTGTAATAGTTGAGTGTGAAAGTTTGCTCCTCCTATTGTAATTCTGTTCTTGATATTGAATAAAAGAATTTTCGAATCCCAACAAGTGGTATCAGAGCGATGTTGAGTTTCCATACACTGTTTTCTCATTTTTCAGAAAAATTTCTACAGGTTAGAAAATCGTAAATTTTGAAGTTGCTCGGAATCACGATCTGATCATACCGTTAGATTCGTCTCGTCAAGACGAGAAATCTGGTATTTTTGGGGATTTTTTTTGGCCACCAGAAGAGTCCGTACGCGCCGCCCAAACGCCGCCTGAAAACTGCATGCGTCATCACTACGTCATCACGCAGTCCAGAGGAAGAAGGCGAGACATGTCAGCCACCACGTCATCGCCACGTCGGGCCACGTCATCACCACGTCGTGCTGATTCATCGTCCGCGTCATCACGTAATCCGTCCGCTGGGTGCCACGTCAGCTGCCACGTGGCGCCACGTCAGCACCAGCGCCAAACCAGCTGTTGCCACGTCATCAGCCTGCTGGTCTGCCCACTGGGCTGTTGCCTGAACGGTTCGCAGTTGTGGAGGCCGGTTCACCCATTTCCAGACTGGTTTTGGACGAGGTCAGACCGGTTCCTACTATTTTCGGCCATTCCGGATCCAACGGTGAGCTCCGTTTGTCCAAATTCGTCTTCGAAAATAAGGTACGAGATATATTGAGCGTTTTATTGTGGATAAATCATCATCGGACACCATGATTGCGCTCACTTCCACAAATTACAATATGTGGAAACCACAGATGGAGGATTTGCTAAACTTAAGGGATTTAGCCGATCCTCTTGATAATAATGGCGTGAAACCGGATAAAAAGATGGATGAAGAATGGATAAAAATGAATCGAAAAACTGTCGTACAAATTCGATAGTGGATAGATCATAGTGTGTTCCATCATGTTGCTCAAGAACAGAGTGCTTACACACTATGGGAAAAGCTTGGTAGCATGTATCAAGCAAAAAAAGCCCGGAATAAGACGTTACTGATGAGGCGATTAGTAAACCACAAGCTACGAGGTGGTATTTCGGTTTCAGAACACATCAGTCAATTCCAGGATCTTGTGAATCAGTTGAGCACCACCGGATGAGTTCTCAAAGATGAAGAGCAGGCGATACTACTCTTGAGCTCTTTACTTGACAGCTGGGAGACCCTTGTTGTCACTCTCAGCAATTCTGCTCCCAATGGCAAGGTGACAATGTAGATGGTCACAGATGACCTAATGAATGAAGAAGCCCGAAGGAAGGAAGTCGGGACTGAACAATCATACGCCCTCGTGTCAGAAACTAACAGATGAGGGGGAGGCAGAAATGGAGGAAGAAACCGAGGTCGGGGTAGAGATCAAGGTCAAAACAGAGGTAATTCTCAAGTTTGCGGCCGATCACAAGAATGAGGTATGTCCTATGAAAACAATAATTGGTTTGAAGGATATTGCAATTATTGTGGTAATTATGGACACAGAAAAAGAGATTGTAGAAAGTTTCTACGAGAGCAGCCACAGACGGGTCAAAATACTAGCCAAGAAGATGGTGAGATCATGGTTAGTTTGTCATCAGACGTGTGTCTTGTTACACATGGTGAACAAGAATGTTTACACGTAGGTACTCATGATGTTGAGTGGGTGATTGATACAGCCGCATCATTTCACGCCACTCCACACCAGAACTTATTCACGTCTTATAAGTCTGGAGACTTTGGAGCTGTGAAGATGGGAAACAACAGTTTCTCGAAGATTGTTGGCATTGGTGATGTGCACATAACAACCAATGTCGGATGTGCACTTGTGTTGAAAGATGTTCAACACATTCCGGATCTTAGATTGAATCTTATCTCCAGTACAGCTCTGGATCAGCAAGGATATCTTAACCGATTAAAAGAAAGTACATGGAAGTTATCTAAAGGTTCCTTGGTTGTTGCAAGAGGCCATATTTGTGGTACTCTGTATAAAACTCGTGCAAAGTTGTGTCATCCGAG